GGGGAGGGGAGTGGTGTAGTCGAGGGACGACACATGCTCCCTTCCGCACCCTCAGAGACAGAGAGGAATGAGTGGGGCGACACACTGGGGCGTCGAGCACACTCATTCCAGTCTGTGTGCTCAGTGATAGTGTCAAGTCTTTCTTTAATCAACTCAGGGTGCTGCCCACCCGTGGGTGAGCAGCGGGGAGCTGAGAACAAAAGATTCTCCCCCGGCCCTCCACCGGGGGAAGGAGGGGGCCTGCTACCACCTCCTGTGAAAAACTTGACTCCATCACTGAGCATCCCGTCTCAGGGCTTCGCCTGGCGTTTAGTGGGGCGCGCGGCCTGAGGGGGCTGTGACGCTCTCCGGCGGCCTCCTCCCGCGACGCGACCTGGATGAAGGCTGCTGCTGGGGCCGCGTGGGAGGGAGGGGAGCCGTAGGGGGGCGTCCTCGGCGGCGAGCAGGCGGAGGCGTCTGAACCGACGGCTGGGTGGAGGCAGTAGCTGGCCGTCGGGGCAGGATGTGTTTAATCGCCTCCGTCTGCTTCTGGGCGGTCAAAAACTGCTGGGCAAAGTCTTCGACCGCACCGCCGAAGAGGCCAACCTGGAAGAGGGGGGCATCGAGCAGACGAGTCCGCTCGGCGTCCCGTGTGTCTGCCAGGTTGAGCCACAAATGACGCTCCTGGACCACACTGGTGGCCATCACCTGACCAAGGGAGCGAGCGGCCACTTTCGTGCTCGTTAAAAGCCCCTTGGTCGGTCCCCCCCTCGTGCATATCCCTGAGCAGCTTGGCTCGAAAAACCAGCAAGGTGCTCATAGCATGCAGGGCGGAGGCTGCCTGTCCCGCCGCTCTATAGGATCGCGCCGCCATAGACGACGAAAGCCTACAGGCTTTGGATGGGTGCTTGGGAGTACCGCAGGAGGATGCGCTCTGCGGACACAGTTGCATCGCAACAGAGCGCTCCACCGGGGGAATCCCAGCGTACCCACGGGCAACCGTGCCGTCGAGGGGAGGAAAGGCGGGGGAAACTGACGAACGCTCTAGGGAGGTCAAAGGAGCCTTCCAAGTGCGTGTCAATTCCGCATGCAGCTCGGGAAAAAAGGTATTGGGGTCGGCTGTGGCCGTGAGGCGGCAGCCTTGCCCAAAAAACAATTATCCATCCGTGAGAGATCACGGCGGCCCGAGATAGCATGGCCGTCATCTCGGGATCAGACACGGGCAACGCTGGCGCTCCCGAGGGAGGCAACGCAGCCGCATCCTCACTTTAGTCAGATCATTGAGTCTAGATTGCAGTGTAGAGATGGTCATGTTCCCACAGAAGGAACATGAGTCATCCACGAACGCTGCTGCTGCATGCTGAATGCCCAGACACACAGAGCAGCGATCGTGACCATCAGAAGATGACATGAATCGACCGCACCCAGAAGAACACGGGCGAGCCATCTTTAAAAAGACGTGCCACGTGCAGCTCTTTCAGTAGAGAGGAGAAAATTCACTCTTTCAGCGCTGAGGCGACCAGGGAGAAGCCCAAAGTCTGACAGACCACTGCTCAGATCGCAGGCAATGCAGAATCTCGCTGGGTACCGCCGTCACACCAACACTGAAGAGGACGCTTGTCTCGAAGAGTTGTACTCAGTGAAAATGGCTTGAGGAGGGAAGATGTCTCTTGGCTCCGAAGCGAAAACATACTGCGGTTGCGTTCACTTCCTCCTTTTATACCCACGGGGTGGGGCGGAGTTACGCTATGCAAATTCCGCAGCCCCAAGGCATTTTCATGCCATTGGCTCGTTGTTAAATACTCGAAGAGGATTGGCTTTCTATGCGAAACCCCCATTCTTCGTCATTCCGACGTAACTTGGAGTGACTACGAAAGGGAACTATTTTATAGTGTACTAGGATCATTTAAAGTTCATTTTGCCAGCAGTGAAGGTGTTGCTGCTCCTGGCTGTGGGTCTGAGTAAGAGCTGAACACAAGGATGCCCTCCACAAGGTTCACATTTAACCCAAGGGCCAGCTCTTCTGCCTGGGTAATGTGGGGGTGCAGGACCACCACCTGTTTGTTTTTCTTTTCTTTTTTTCTCAGCCTTTTTCTTGCTTTTATAAACAGACAAACGTTTATTCACGGTGCCTTTTAAAATGGATTAGTTAGTACAATATACTATTAAGCTATGTAGAATATACTTCAATTTTACTTGTTCCTATGTTCTAGCAGTGGGTGTGACTCTGGCATTACAATGAAAAAAGTTATTAATTATTTAGAAATTATTAAAATATAAATAAAATATAAAAATATATACTGTAATAAGTGATAAAAACATCTAACTACAAACTTAATTTGTCTGCTACTTTTTGCCGGCTCTCTCTCCTGGCTTTTGCACACTTTAAGGTGTTTCAAGCGTTTTAATGGGCTTTATGCCCAGCTGCACTACTTCCTGAACTTCAGCCAGCTCCTTGTTTCCTGTCTGCCATTATTGGCCAAATTGATTAATTCAGGTGTGTCTGATTATTGTTGCCATGACTACTGAGGTCAGGTACACCTGAATTAATCAATTTGGCCAATAATGGCAGACAGGAAACAAGGAGCTGGCTGAAGTTCAGGAACTAGTGCAGCTGGGCATAAAGCCCATTAAGTTTTCAAATTCAGCTTATCCTTCAAGCAATAACTCTTGCTCTTCTGTGGAGAAAAAAGCTGAGCGCGCTCTTTGGCCACGCGTCGAACAGCCAATAGCAGTGTTGCTGATCAATGTTTCTACTATCGATACTAGGGGTGGCACGGTACATGAAAAAACACCCGAACCGTTCGGTTCGCTTGTCTCGGTTCGGAGCGTGTGTGCGTCTCACGGTTCGACGCATGCGCAATGTAACCTCGTGCCCGTATGTGACGTGTGTTTTCTTTTCGCGCGACATAAGCTTGTTCGACTTGGACCGGCGCTGCACAGAGCGACCGGTGAATAACATCACACTAGAGCGGGAACGACGGCTCCGTCACTCACTTTCGCGGTATTTGATGTCATTACCGATCGCTCTGTGCAGCGCCGGTTCAAGTTAGTAAACAAGCCAGTAAAAGTGGAGTATGGAGCGCTGCAGGTCACGGCACGCGGAGAAATGGCAAGTGGGAGAGATGAGGGAGTTGGAGGATGCGCCAGCGTCCTATAAGTCTATAAGTCCGGTGTGTGGGGACATTTTTGATTTCATGTTATGGTATTTTAATATAACGTTACAGTGGCACTTTATGTTTAGATATGATCTTCAGTCAAATGTTTCCAAATCCTGCACTTTAATTTAAACTGAAAAAAAGGTACCCTCACTTTTTGGGAATAGAAGCATTGTTGATACTGTTTTTTGTGTTGAGGTTGAACTTTTCACTTTATGTTTATGGCCTTTGCTATTTCTATAGCCTAATTATAGGCAATAAGGTTTCATGTATATTGACTTATTCATAAAAGACAGTGTAGTTCCTCTTTTTTTCTTTTAAAAGATAGAATTTTTGTAAGAGCTACAAAAGTTGTCAGTTCATAAATGCAAGTTAATTTCTTTGTGTAAATAAGATTTGTGTGATAAAAATGCACAAGTTCTTGTAGAGATAGTGATACACATTCTCCTTTTTTTTGCCAAATAAACGAAAAGCATGTCAATTTCTTCTCTCTTGCTGTATCTAAATCTCACCTAGCTTTCCTCTGAGATAGTCCCAAAATGTGCTTAAAGTCAAAGAGTCAAATTCAGTTTGTGCATGATTGCATGAATATAATTTTTTTTATACTGTATCCTAAAGTGTGGATAATTAAGCTATATATCACATGCTGAAGTACATTTCTGAAGTGTTAAAGATTAAAATAAAAAAATAACAAGAACCGTACAGAACCGAAAACCGTGACACTAAAACCGTGATACAAACCGAACCGTCGGTTTCGTGAACCGTGCCACCCCTAATCGATACATATCGCCTTTTAACCCAGCGCATGAACGCGCAATCATTTCACATTCCTCAATCCAGCTATACTAATCATAACCGGCAGGAGTCTTCGAAGAACCAAATTAGCCGGATCATGATGAGCACGATGATATTTATCTTGGATGTCTCATTTGATCTCGGATGTTTTAAGCAACGTACTAAGAACGGGCCCCTGAAGGTGTCAGAATAAATACAGAACACACGTGATCGTTGTCATGTGGTAAATCTGGCCAATTATGGAACAGCTTTGTCATCATCAGAGCTTGTGTAGCCGCTTTTGAGAAGCTGTGCCTTCTGATTCAGCCAGAATATACATAAATTTTAATTTAATGATTCTTTAATCTGCATTTAAAATATGGTTGTGAATAGCTGTTTGGAATGAAATTCTAAGAAAAACATAAATCCATTGCTGCTTTTACGGTGTGTTGCAATCACCGTAGTAATTCAGAAAAAAAACATTCACATATATTTTGATGTAGATCAATATTTTACAAAATTGTTGTTTGTACTTTTGAAAATGTTTTAAATTTAACTTAAGAAATATGTGTGTGTATTGGAAAAAAATATTTGGGACTACACTTGTGTATTTATGAAACTTTAAAATATTTGATGAATTATTTGTCAATTTGTGATGTTTCGGTTTAAACAAGACAAATTGTATATTTGTTACATATCTTTGAGTACAGCACATATTGTTTTGCATAAGGCCTTATAGAATACGATACATTCTAATAATAAGTATTAGTAAAAATCTACAATATTGATGATTTTTTTTATATAATAATTGTTGTACTTGATGGAGGGTTCCAAAATAGCAAACATGACGTCCTTATTTCCAGAGAGACCACTGGCACCGCCTGCTATATATATATATAAAAAATGTACCACTCACAATCTTATATGTTAAATCAGTGAGCTGAGTGAAGAGTGACATAGACCGACAAGGAGAGAGGGATGTGGGTAATTCTGTATATTTGTTTGTTCCTGTCTTGTAACTATATCTGTGTTGCTTTGATGGTCAATTCAGGTACCTGTCAGCTCCAGGGACACTTTAAAATGAATGGGATGTTCCAGAATGGAGACCTTCTCATTGGTGGTCTGTTTGAGGTTCAGAGGTACCTCAAAGTATTCCCTGTGCTGAGCTTCAGAACAGAGCCAAAACTACCACAATGTGAGCTGTGAGTCTGGACTACACCAACTGAAGAAAACTTAAGACAATGATTTTTATGACTCTGTATACATTATAACTGGTCAATGATAATTTAGTCAAGGCAACTGATAACATGTTGCATGACAGGTTATAGGACTGAATCATTAATTGAATGAAAACACACACAAATATATATACTTTTTTAACAAAGTATACGTTTGGAAATATGTTATGAAATTCAGTTAATCTATTATTAATAATTTGTCTACTTTTACTGTTAGAATTACAAAGTTAATGACAATTTATTTTGTATGGTCTCCTCTAGCTTCTATATGACAAGCTTCCAGCAAGCACTAACAATGGTTTTTGCCATTAATGAGATTAATAGCAACCCCAACCTCCTGCCTAACATCACGCTTGGTTACCAGATCTACGACAACTGCTTAAGGCTTGGAGTGGCATTTCGTGGTGCCACAGCTCTGGTTAGTGGAACAGATGAGACTATCTCTGACCTCAACTGCAAAGGACCACCACCAGTGATTGGAATCATAGGTGATCCCGGGTCTACCCATTCTATTGCAATTTCCAGTGTCTTGGGGCTGTTTCGACTGCCTATGGTATGATATTTAAAATCTTTTTTTGTTTTTTGTTAAGAAAAAGTCTAACCAAATGATTCTTTAACAACACATTATATTTGATTATCTACTATGTAATGTTTTCATTAATCATAGCAGAACATTGTGCGCAAATATAACCTGCTTCACAATAAATAAAAAAAAAAGTAAGAAAGAAACATAATGGCTTTAGAACGATACGATTTGTTTATCTTTCTCTGTCTCTTGTCTCTGCTCCTCATTTCTAATTAGGTTAGCTATTATGCCACCTGCTCCTGTTTAAGTGACAAGAAAAAGTACCCCTCTTTCTTCAGAACAATCCCCAGTGATGCCTTCCAGGTGCGGGCTATGGTTCAGATCTTGAGACATTTTGGATGGACCTGGGTTGGTCTCGTCTACAGTGATAATGACTACGGCATCTACGCTGCTCAGTCCTTCCAGATGGAAATGCAGCGGTTTGGACATTGTATTGCTTTTTCTGAAATACTGCCCAATGATAATAACCCCAGAGATATTCAACGTATAATGGGAGTGATTCAGGCCTCTACAACTAGAGTGGTGGTTGTTTTTTCTGCTTCATCCTTACTGATACCTTTGATGGATACATATGTGTTGCAGAACATGACAGGCAGGCAATGGATTGCAAGTGAAGCTTGGGTCACCTCACCTGTGTTTCACACATCACGTTTCCTGCCCTTTCTGGGGGGCACACTGGGCATTGCTATCAGGCGTGGGGAGATTGAGGGGCTTCATGACTTTCTGTTACGTGTTCGGCCTAACAATGATCAAAGAAATAATATAGTGAGGATATTCTGGGAGAACATGTTTGGGTGCAGTTTTGAAACTGGGGGTAAAGAGACAGAAGGAGAGCAAGTGAAAAAGGTGTGTACAGGACTGGAGGATCTGAGCTCCACAAACTCACCATACTCTGATGTTTCAGGGTTGAGGGCATCTTATAATGTGTATAAGGCAGTTTATGCCCTAGCACATGCACTTCATGACCTGATGCAGTGTGAAGAGGGTAGAGGACCATTTAGTGGGAACAGTTGTGCTGTCATAACAAATCTTAAACCCTGGCAGGTAAGACCCACAGGTATCGTGCAGATTTTTCCCAGGCATATAGATGAGCTGACTGTGGAAAAGCAAAATATGTGCTCTACATTAATTCAAATTTCAGATAAACATATAACACCTGTCATGTCTACAAACTGTACAGCTGGTTCATTACCTACAGAAAGTGAACTTCACCACAGGCTTTGGAGATCACGTGTCATTTGACAAAAATGGAGATGCTCTGGCCATATATGATGTGTTGAACTGGCAGCCGAGCTCTGATGGGTCAATAAAGCTCCACAAGGTCGGTGTCGTAAATGAAGGGGCAGCATCAGGAATGATGCTCACACTGGATGAGGATGCATTTTACTGGAACTTTGAGATGAAAAAAGTAATTAACTTTGAATTTGAAATGTAATAATTTTTGCAGGTATACATACTAAATAAAGCTATGATAAGATAAATTAGAATAAATTAATGGAAAAGCCAAGCTTGTCATTATGTAAAGGACATAAACATGATGATGTGTCTTTTAGCCCCCACAGTCTGTGTGCAGTGAGAGCTGCCCACCAGGAACCAGAAGAGCTACAAAGAAGGGTCTTCCTGTTTGCTGTTTTGACTGTCTGCCATGTGCTGCTGGAGAGATTTCTAATACAACAGGTCAGGAGATAGCTGGCAAAATTGTAATATAATTTGATAGTTATTTTCTCTTTAAAATGTTGCATTCTGTCTTTTTCTTACCCACAGATGCTGTTGAGTGCATGTTGTGTCCAGATGAGTTTTGGTCCAATCCAGATATGAATCAATGTGTACCGAAAGAAGTTGAGTTTCTGTCCTATGAGGATCCTCTGGGTATCTCTCTGACCACTGCATCTCTGCTTGGCACCTGCTTCTGCACTCTTGTGATGGTCATCTTTGCACATCACAGTAACACTCCCATAGTACGCGCCAACAATTCAGAGCTCAGCTTCCTGCTGCTGGTGTCACTTAAACTGTGTTTCCTGTGTGCTCTACTGTTCATTGGTCAGCCACAATTGTGGACGTGTCAGTTAAGACATGCTGTGTTTGGCATAAGCTTTGTCCTGTGCATCTCCTGCATCCTGGTCAAGACTATGGTGGTAATAGCTGTGTTCAAGTCCTCTCGACCAGAGAGCAAAGGAGCGATGAAATGGTTTGGAGCAGCTCAACAAAGATGCACAGTTCTAGTCCTGACAGCCCTCCAGGTTGTGATATGTGCAGTCTGGCTATCAACTGCCTCTCCAACACCCCATAAAAACAACCAGTACATTCGCTCTAAAATAGTATTTGAATGTGCTATTGGCTCAGTGGCTGGTTTTTCTCTTCTGCTGGGATACATTGGACTATTGGCAGCAGTAAGTTTCCTATTAGCCTTCCTGGCGAGAAACCTTCCAGACCATTTTAATGAAGCAAAGTTCATCACTTTCAGTATGCTGATCTTCTGTGCTGTGTGGATTGCATTTGTTCCTGCATATGTGAGTTCACCAGGGAAATATGCAGTGGCTGTGGAGATATTTGCCATTCTTTCTTCAAGTTTTGGATTACTGGTGGCCATATTTGCCCCAAAGTGCTACATCATTCTTTTTCATCCAGAAAGAAACACTAAAAAAGCAATCATTGGACGAGAAACAAAAAAGATATAGTTTTATATCATTTTTGTCCACCATCCACAAACACATTTGTGAATCAACCAAAATTCAATCTATCTATCTATCTATCTATCTATCTATCTATCTATCTATCTATCTATCTATCTATCTTGACACACACACACACGTACAGTTGAGTTTCCATGTTTTACGGCATCTTTCCATAGACATAAGGATTTTTATACTGCTCAAACAGTATAAAACTTTCAGGAATTTCTGCAATAAAAAATAATATTAAAAACATCACTCTGTATGATTTATAAGCTGTTTTCCTCATGGAGATCAGAACATGTCTCCACAAGGACAAGGACATGGATAACAGATATTGGTATCTTTGTGCCACACACGCACACACACACACACACACACACACAAGAGATGTTATGTGTTTATTGTGTTTTGTATATATTTTTTTTATTTTAGATATATTAAATTGATTTTTAAAAAGTTGATCAAAAGTAGTTATATTAAATCGATAAAATTTTTATATTGTTACAAATATGTTATAAGTAGTTTTAGAAATACAATTAAGGGAGCACACTTCTTCAATCCTACACTGTAAAAATAAATCTGTTAAATTTACAGGAAAAACCTGGCAGCCTTCCTGTTAAAAATACGGTAGCAACATTTTAAGTTTTACAGACTTTTAACCACATTTCATTTTACAGCAATAAACCGAATGTTTTTATCTGATATAATGTTAATTTACTTACCTTTTGAAGTATTAATATCTGTTTTATTCCATTGTAATACACTGACAGCCAACAATCACAGCAGTAATGAGAGTCAAAAAATCAATCAAAGCTCATCATAAGCAAATCTTCCACAAGAAAGTTCATGCTAATATATAGAAGCTCCTTAGTGTCATTCACACAAACATTAAACACCATCATGGTAAAACTGAAATTTTAAAAAGCAATAAGCATTAATTTAACAACATTAAATGTAACATAAAACCCTAATGTACATAACTGATTAGAAAAAAACTAAGAAAAGTACGAGGAAACAGTTATTTAAAAAAACAAATACATTAAATGTGAAGTGTTACGCAGGGAATTGTGGGAATTTCAACTTAAATTTTTTCACTGTAAATTATACAGTGCCTTGTTCTTTTTCACTTCCAAAAACTGTAAATTTAACAGTATTTTACAGTAAAATTACAATAAATATACCATTATATATCACAGTTATTTACTGTATATAGTAAGGAAACTTTCTGTTAACCAATAAACAGTTTTTCACTTTAGCATTTTTACTGTCTTTTACTGTTAAAATCACGATCATTTTTACAGTGTACAGTAGCCTTGTTCTCTTTTACGGTATTTGTGGTGACATTAATCCATTTCTGCATATTTTCTAATGTGATGTATTTTATTTTATGTAGAAGGACTTTTCATTTATACTTTAATGTTATCAATGCCATCACATACTCTGTATTCATTCTGTGCTCATTTTGATGTTTTTATATTAGTAATGGGTCGATCAAGAGCGATTTCTTTTATTTTGAACAAATGTTTAATATGACTTGACTTTCATATGAGTCTCATAGAGTGATTTGTTAATGTTGTGTTGACCACTCATGCACAACATCCCATAGGTTCTTTACAGGAAACAGATTAGTTCAGCTCTCAAGTCTTTGGGTCTGAGATATTCATTCATCCCATGACAGCCCCATATGCAGTCAGTACTGGAAACACAAATTATTAGTTCACCTTTCAAGTCATTTGTTCTCTTGTCATGTGATGTGACAACCATATTGGATACAGAAATGAGTTACTGTAACAATTCCCAACCCTCCATACAAACAAGCGTGTAATTAGTTTTACATGATGTGTTTCTTATGGATCGAATTATGTACCAAAATTAAACAAGCAAATCCAGCATTTTGCAAACAAACTCGATCTGCTTTGCAAAGGAAAAATCGACTCACAAACAAACAGAAAGCAATTTGCAAAAACAAAGGTCAATTTAAGCGAAAATGCAATGGAGCAACCAATATTGTGTTTTACAAATTTAAATAAATGATCCTTCATAATATTTCACAAATAAATACAAATCATCCTACAAGTTGCATGTAACCTTTGAACAAGTACCAACTCTAGTGCAAACAAATGCATATCTGTCGGTTATGATTGTGAGATCTCTCGGCTCGATTTCCTTACAAATGCGTCCAGGCAGATTTTCTCACAAATGCAGATGAGTAACTTCCTCTTCTAAAATATGGAATGCCAAAGCTGACTTAATTAAAAATAAATAAATACATAAATAAAAATACGAAGAAATGTAAAAAAGCAAAAATACATAAATAAATATACAAAGAAATGTAAAAAAGTACAAATAAGTATTTATACATTTATTTCCATATTTTTGTATAATTGTATTTTTTTTACACATTTATTTATTTATTTATTTGCTAATGAGGGGGGGGCGTGTTTTAACTCAGACATCAGCAATCGAGCACAGAGTGACAGTGCTGAAGCTTTGAGGCCACAGTGACTCCTTGTGGTGTGTGACCAAATGAAACGTCTCGGTTACGTATGTAACCCTCGTTCCCTGAGTAGGGAACGGAGACGTTACGTCAGAAGTGACGGAGATTGGGGGTTTCGCATAGAAAGCCAATCCTCTTCGAGTATTTAAACACGAGCCAATGGCATGCAATGCCTTGGGGCTGCGGAAATTTGCATAGCGTACTCCGCCCTACTCCGTGAGTATAAAAGGAGGAAGTGAACGCAACCGCAGTATGTCTTCGCTGAGGAGCCAAGACTGAACTCGGCATCTACCCAGCGATACAGCAGAAGTGGCAGGGAGACGTAACGTCTCCGTTCCCTACTCAGGGAACGAGGGTTACATACGTAACCGAGACGTTCCCTTTCGTAGTCACTTCGAGTTACGTCAGAAGTGACGGAGATTGGGGGTCTGTGCCATCACGCCAACTTCAGGCTGTCTTCCAGTGCCCTGCGAAAGTCTAAACCCCCGAGCCTTACCTGTTTTCCTTAGGGGATCCGACTTAGACACAGGATTACCAAGGTACACTGGGAAACATATCCCGAAGGGGACATGCTACCAGCTGCCTACCGAAGGGAGGACTTACGAATACACATATGGCCACATAGGAACACATATGGAATCACTGGAGCACCAACCGCAGGTGGCTACTAATTTCAGCTCCAGGGGTGGCAGATGGCTTGCCAAGGGAAGACACATGCTCAGAGAGGCTTACAGTGGATAATACACATGAGACGGTTACCAAGGGGGAACCGTACGCATGGAGGCACCTAGCCAGCATCCAGAGCCACAGCAGTGGTGCCCGCATCGTCGGTGCTGGAGGACTCAAGGCTTCAATGGAAGAACTGAGGAAATATCGCACTTATCCAGTCCGGGGAGTGGAGTGGCGAGCAAGCGAAGACACCTGAGCGGATCCAGAACTGGCCGAAACGAGTACGTGAGAGGATACCGGCTCAATTCGCAGATTATAGAATCTGGCGAAGGTGTTGGGTGTCGCCCAGCCTGCAGCTCTGCAGATGTCTGTTAGCGAGGCGCCGTGCGCTAAAGCCCAAGAGGAGGCCACACTCCGAGTGGAATGGGCCGTCACACCAAGGGGGCACGGAAGGCCTTGCTGCTGGTAAGACAAAGCAATGGCATCCACAATCCAGTGGGACAGCCGTTGCTTTGAGAGAGCCCTTCCCTTCTGGCTCCCTCCATGACAGACAAAGAGCTGGTCTGAGGTCCTGAAACACTGCGTTCTGTCGACATAGGTGCGGAGAGCACGTACCGGACAGAGCAGTGCCAAGGCTGGGTCTGCCTCCTCCGGGGGCAGCGCTTGCAGGTTCACCACCTGGTCCCGGAAGGGAGTGGTGGGAACCTTGGGCACATATCCAGGCCGGGGTCTCAGGATCACGTGAGAGTAAGCCGGCCCGAACTCCAGGCACGCTTCGTCAACGGAGAATGCGTGCAGGTCCCCCACCCTCTTGATGGAGGCCAATGCAACCAGGAGTGCTGTCTTCATGGACAGAAACTTTAACTCTACCGATTGCAAAGGCTCAACGGGATGCCTCTGCAGAGCACTTAAAACTACCGAGAGGTCCCAAGAGGGTACGAGGGGAGGACGAGGCGGATGCAGCCTCCTCGCTCCCCTCAGGAACCTGATGACCAGGTCGTGCTTCCCTAAGGACTTACCTTCCACTGCTTCATGAGAAGCGGCAATGGCCGCGACGTAAACCTTAAGGGTGGAGGGCGACAGCCTGCGCTCCAACCCTTCTTGCAGGAAGGAAAGCACGACACTGATCGAACATCTCCGGGGGTCTTCTCCGCGAGAAGAGCACCAATTGACGAAGAGGTTCCACTTCAACGCATAAAGGTCTCGTGGACGACGCTCTTGCGGAAGTGATGGTTGCCGCCACCGCAGGTGGCAGCGAACTCAAACCTGCCTCGTGCCGTCCAGGAGCCACACGTGCAGCCTCCAAAGATCGGGACGAGGGTGCCACAGAGTGCCCCGTCTCTGAGAGAGTATCTTGTCTCAGAGGAATAGGCCAAGGAGGTGCTGTCGCGAGGAGCAAGAGATCGGAGAACCACGTCTTGGTGGGCCAGTAGGGGGCTACCAGCAAGACCTGCTCCTCGTCCTCCTTGATCTTGCACAACACCCGTGCAAGGAGGCTCACTGGGGGAAACGCATACTTGCGTGGGCCCCGTGGCCAGCTGTGCGCCAGCGCATCCGAGCCGAGAGTGCCGCGGGTCAGAGAATAAAACTGGGCGCAGTGGGACGAGTCCCGAGAGGCGAACAGGTCTATCTGTGCCTCCCCGAACTCGTCCCAAATCAGCTGGACCGACTGGGGATGGAGTCGCCATTCGCCGGAGATGGGGCGGACCTGGGACAGCTCGTCGGCTGCCCAGTTCCGGTCTCCAGGAATGTAAACTGCACGAAGGGACCTCAGGTGCTTCTGACTCCATATCAAGAGGTGGCGGGCGAGCTGCGACAACTGGCGTGAGCGTAGACC